AAGTTGCTTCCAGATTATTCTTATTCTTTGTTCTGTCTTGGTCCAGAAGTCATGTCAGAGCTATCCATTACATACTTCATTCTGTTTTCTTCTTTGGTTCTAATGTCATGCAGGAAACTGTGTAAAGTCACTAAGTAGAATGACAGAAAAAAAAATAAATTATTGAATACTGTAGAGGCCATTTTTTTTTTAAGCTTTGCTTGTATTTTGCCCACCTGATTTATTTTTATTTTATATATATGTATACCTACCAATTTTTTTTTTATTGTGCTTTGTTTTACTCTGGTGAGGTTAAGTCAAAGGAGTAGAAGTCAGGAGGTCTGAGTGTTATTTCTTGTCTCTTAGAAAATTGCTGGAGGTCACCTTCCGTTAGTCACTTAACCTCTCCCTGCTTTACTACAAAATGGAATTTTAAGCTCAGCAGGTTTTTGAAAAGTAATTCATTAATGTTTTGCAAAAAAATGCCTTGTACTCCTTGGCTGGCAGGTGCTAGAGAAATAGAATTTGCATTTCTATTTAAATACTAAAATTATCTAGTACTAAGGTTCTCATGTTGATTCTGCTCTCCTGTAATCTATTAAAACATTAAAGGCAAGGAAAAGGTATTTTAAAAAGCTCTTGTTTTGTAACAGCTCCATCTTTAACTTTTGCTAATGGCTATCTCTTGTCAACAAAGTGCAAATCAATTTCAAGGCTGAACCCAAACTCTCTCATTTGCATATTGTTAACTGCTCTCTCTTTTCCTGTTAAACAGGAGGAAAAAGTCAATTAGATATGAGGCAGCTGTCTTATTAATGAAGGGGTGGGATAAAATGTAAGGAACTCTTCTTTTGTAGCATATGCTTCTGAGCAGCTCATTTTTCTGAGCAAGGACAACTGCAGAGTACCAAGTTTTGTCTATTGCTTGCAAGGCTTCTGCTTCTTTTCATTTATATAATCTCATGTTTTCACTGTCAAATATTACCAAAAATGAAGAGTTGCTCTTTACTTTCAGTGTAACAAAATCCCTGTCAGGCCAGAAGGATCACATGAAATAGTGTGATTGACAATGACCATGCATACACATACATAAAAAAAAAACAACACAAAATCTCTGTCATGACATTCCTTCATGATTAAAACTTTGTTATAAACCATGGATGAATTATGAAAAAGAAAGCTGGAAGAAATATACTGATTCGCCAAAGGACTTGAATAAAATGACATTTCTGAGACCTTTATATTCTAAAGGATTATTTACTGTCTACTTAGAGAGCATCTTAAGTGGTTTTGCAGAGGGAGTCAGTTTCCTGTTTAGCGCAGTGTTTTTGTAAGCTAATGAGGGCAAAGCGTGAGCCATAGGCAATGATGCTGTGATATTAGCTGTGACAGGGAACTTGATCATAATTATCTTAACGAGGATAGGGTTAATTACAGTGGAAACTTAAAGTTTTTTCTGTTTGAATGAGGCGGCACTTGAATACGTTGTGATGTTTTGTCGGTTTGATGTGACTTTGAAAATTGCAGTGGAAATCTCTTGGCAGCACTTGCTCTCCTCTGGGAGCAGAGTGTGAGCCTGCAGTGAGGTAAGGGAGACAGTACCTGTGGGTGAGATAATGGGCAGCTCCCATGACATTAGAGCAGGGACAGGCAACCTGCAATCCACCTTAGTGATGTTTATTAGCCTTTTGAAAGTAAGGGAAACATCTCCTTGCCACAGGCCTTCCACTGCTGGTTGCATTGTTGTGGTAAGATTGTTTGTTTCAGTATTTTAACATGGGGAGACATTTTTTTTATGCTGTGAACTATGAGAAAACAGCACAGATTTAATTTTAGACTCATTCTCCTTCTTAGAGGATTTCCTTCCTTTTATACCCATCTCTTGCTTGTGCCCTTCTTCCTATGCTGTGTCTATATAAGCATTCCCCTCCTCCTTTATAATGGGCTCATAAGGAAATACTGGAGTACATTAATATTGCTTTCTCAGTCTCATTAAAAATAAAAATTACAGTATTTCATACTGATTTCTGTCTCAGATTCTCAAAAATGCTTTCTCCATACCAATTTACAATTGCAATCCTTTCTTATCCCCCATCTGCAGATGAGAAATTGAGGCTCATGGAAGTTATGGGACTTGCTGAATTTTGTACCATAAAACCAATTGTGTGGATTGTACTTAAAAGTTTTACACTTTGGAATACAACTGCTGGGCAGTATTTCCTAAGATACTATGACGGTAAAGACTTGTATAGAATTTATTAGGTAGCAACACTGAATGATGACATTATTTCCTTTTTTGCTTCTTTGCTGTGTCTTACCATTTCTTGTTTTGGTGCTGTTTTTTTCTTCTGTTCAATATGGAAAAAAATAATAATTTTGTGAACAGCAAGACAACACATGGCTTTAAATTTATATTAATGGCTACACTCTCTCTCTGTATTGTGGCAACCCCTCCCATCTCCCTGGACTCTGAATTTAGGTGATTAAATCACCAAGTGCACACTACTCTGATGACATGAAAACAGCAATTATAAGCAACCCCCTGTGTAACATGGCTCCTTTTTAACTGAGCAGCTAATAACATTACATGGCAAAAATTATCAAAACCAGACAGGTGTAAGGAGATTTGCGCACAATTTTCTCTGCCTATCTATGAAACTAGTACCCTTGTGTTCAGCCCAGGGTTGTGAAAGAAAGACTGTTTCAATAGGCAACTCCCTCTAGTGTTCCAAGGCCTTTTGTCCCACTTCATGGCTTGTCATTTTGTTTTATGCCTCCCCTGCAGCAGTTTTGGATGTGCGCTTTCTTCTCCTTGCCAGTTGCCAACCATTTGCTGATTCTCATGATAAGAGTATTATATTTGCATAACATAACTCAGGAACAATGTGTATTTTGATGCTGACACTGACCAGAGCCCAGGCAGTGTTTTTTCACAAAAGACCTATTAACATCCCATAGGGCTCTGTGGTGCTGACAAGGAGGTGGCCTTCTCTGAACTCTTTTGGCAAGTCAAAGTCATACATTGAAATGTGAGGTTTGGAAATAATCCACTATTTATATAATAAAGAGCATTTAAGAGGAATTTGCTAAACTAGGTTTGTCAAACTGAAATGAAAACTCATAACAGCTTGATAAACTCACTGCTACTTCCTCTGAGTTTTTTTGCCTTTTAAAGGTACTTGGAGGAAAGCACTGTCCAAGATGTTTGCTGTTTTCTCCTCGAATCTTGACTTTGGCAAAGCAAGTCTATTGTGACCTTTTGCTGAAATAGCTAGCTCAATGCAGCATGCTAGCACAGCTTTTAATGGTGGACAGTTTATGTAGGTTTTTTTCCCAAAACTGTTGGTTAAAGGCACATGCAAAACATGTGATTGTTACTGCAGTGATTATTTCAGTAAAATGTTTATAATAGTGGCCTTTTATTTTTTCAGCTTTAGAAACTGAATTTTTTCAGTGTATCAATGCACTGTAATGATATAGATATGCCATCGGGTGTAGGTGGCAAATTTTCTTCAGGTCCAGCTGCTGAGTATCAAAATGGTGTTAGTCACAGTTGTACCTCCCTTTCAATTCAAGGGACTTTGGAGTCCTTGGACTGAAACACACCTTTGCAGCATTGCACAAATGTTGCTTATTCATAGTTTAGTGTGTGAAGGTCACACACTTGATTTCTTTTGGTTTCTTGAGCTGTCTAAGTGTGATCTATAAGTGGTCTGCAAGTTCTTGCTACAAAAGCAGTACCTTGTTCGTGTTGCACAGATGAATGTTAATTTGTCATTTCTAATAATACTTGTGTTTTTCTCCAGTAATTGTATCTGTGGAACATTCTAACAGAGACCTTGGCTGTCTTTTGATCTTTGCCAAAAACTGGGGGGAGGGTGAGGGTGAGGAAATCCCCTCAGTATAAATGTCATTGGGAACTGAATAAATAGTATAACCTACATCTCCCTTATTCATCACATTCTACAAAACAGCCAGGAGATACAGTGATGATCTTCCCACCGGTAGGCATAGTAGATCAGCTGTCAAGTCATGCAATCTCAGCATATCTTTAGGTGTCTGGTAGGTGAGTGAGCTGTGAATTCATGTCTGTGCGTGTGCTTTGTATATCGTGTGTCTTAGCTGATAAAGTTGTTAGGTTGCTGTTGATTAGGATTTTTTTACTGTTGGAATGAGCAAACATTTGGAATAGATGCCCTAACAAGGTACTGAAATGTTCTTAGTTTTGTTTGTGTGGTTGGTTGATTTTTTTGTACTTTGCTATGAGAGGAATGAATGCTTCCAGAACCTTGTTTATTTACAAGTCACCATCTTGACCACGTGTTGTCAAATGCTCCTTTTAAAAGCTGCTCTCTGCAGTGTGACCTGTGGCTTGACAGTGGGACAGTAAGTTCCAAGAAGAAAGCAAATGCCTTTTCTGTCTGGTGTAATTCTGCATTTTATTTTGTAGAGAACATTTTATTTTGTTTGCAGGAACTCAAGAATCTAATTAAGAGGTTAATAAAAAACAGGGGGGGAAATCCCTTCTACATTTCCTACTATTGCATGTAAGGTAACTACTAAGAAATGATACTTGAAGTTGTATTTATTATTGTTAGCAGGGTATGATATTTCTTGGCAGAAATGATGGATGACAACTTAAATTTGTGTCCAGGGAATGAAGGTGAACTGTGACAGAGTTATTTATCTTGGGAATGGAGGTTAGGGTCAGGCGAGGCTGGGTGCCTGAAGGCACAAGACATTGACAAATTCATCCTGCAGGCCCCATATCTGAAGCCTTTTGTTTTGGATCCTGGCTACTCACTAAGTGACCCGCATCCTTCATCCTGCCAGCATGTGAAGGATGTGTTGCAGTGCCAGCACTCCCCTTGCCACTAATGCTTGTCATTCACTCTTCTGACAGGCCCAAACCAAAACTATTCCCACTCCTGAAAGGGAAGGTTAAAATATTTATTTCAGCTCATAATGGCCTCCCTGATTTAGTGGAGTATCATTTTTCCTGTTGCCTTTGTCGTTTGCAGGTCACTAGAAGGACTGAAAACATTCAGTTACTTGGAAGAACTGATCTTGGACAACAATCTACTCGGAAATGACCTTCTGTTACCCAGGTTACCCCACCTCCATACCTTAACGCTCAACAAGAACCAAATATCCTTTCAAAGAAATACCTGCAAAATGTCAAATGAGTTTTATGTGTCAGCCAAATTAAAGTATGTGAAATATAGTTCATGTGCAGACAAAGCATTCTCTCGTTTGGCACCTGGAATACTTCATAGTAATTTATTACAGGTCATTCATAAATGAAATGCACCATTATATCTTCCTGTTGCTCCATTTTAGTGAGAGATCTAAGTTATGGCTCTGAAGAAATCTTTCTAATAGATAAAATAGAGAAAGAAAATAATGTCAGTGCTACCCGTGTGCAGCAGTTCCTGCGCTAGCTTGGGGTTCTGTTGCAGGCTGACCTCTAGTGGAATAGAGCGTGCAGTGAAACGGGATTAGGTTTTAATACTTTAAATAGCTCTTAAAGCGTTAAAGTACGGTAAAATTAATTAAACCCACATAATATTCTTAATGATTTTCTCTACTTTCATGAAACTGGTAATATGCACAATTGGGTAGCTTCTGTGGAACTGCAGCTGTAAAAGCATGTCACTCTTTTCTGGTATTCCAGTTCTGTATTAATTCACATAAAATACTTTCCAAATCAAGGTCTTAATACAGTAAAGTCATTTGATATATGATTAAGTCCAGTTGTAACCAATCAGTCACTTCTCAATATGCCTAAAGTTAGTGCCTATTTCTGTTTATTAAGAATAAATATTTCAACATTTGTCTAAATAATCTGCTGAATCAGAGCCCCCTAGTCTGTAGGCTTATAGATATTGGTCTATAAAAACGAATTATCTGCAAAGTCTGTGGGCGTAGACTTGATTATTTCATAATTTTCCCATACTTTGACCCATCTGGAGGTTTGAAGATGTCTAATTCGTGATTTTGCAGAAGTGAGGGGTGGTCAAGCTGTGGCCAAAAGGCCAACTGAGGCCTGCAGAGTCTTAGAGCACAGCCTGCTAAAGGCCTGGCCTTGTAATTGCAGCGTGAGGACAAGACTGCTCAACTGCAGGCTTTTATTACAGACAATGTAAACAGAGAGCAATTTACCTCCTACTAAAGCAAAATCCTCCCACTGAGGGGAATAAAAATAACTGCAGATTCTACGATTTCTGCACTTATTTTTGACTCCATAAATAAATAAAAATCAGCAGAGTAACTTTCTTTCTTGGAGCCGTGGAAATTTGCCAAGAGTGTCTCTTGAACAGTAACAATCATTACTGTACTAGGTATTAGGCTAGATTTATGGTTAATGCAGGGTGTTGTGGGTTGGATTTGAGTAACTGGTTTTATTGTTTTGTTGTTTGCTGCCATGGTAAAATCTGAATTTGTGACGAATGTACGAGAACATTTTTGGTGATGCCACTTACAAACCATGAAGTGTAGCTTTGGCCATAAGAACAAAAAGCATGTAAGTACATTTGTCTTAGGGGTGTCAGCCCAGGAGGAGTTTTTTTGCACTTACCAAAGACAGGGCAGAGGTATTGAATATTGACTCAGTGAACAAAACCAGAGGGAAAAAAATTATCCTGTCAGTAGTAATCTTTAAAGAGTTTCTGCTGGTCTCACAGACAGGCTAAAATAGTATTGTCAAGTGAGTAAGCTCTCAAAGCCAATGATAACACGATAAGAAGGATTTTATCTGTCTTGGGATTTTTTTAATTCAATCTAAAAACTATGAAGCTGGAGCTTTGAGAGTGTTGAACTACCGAGGTTATAGAAATAATATATGCATTTTGTAGCGTGCTACAAATAATTTAATAGAGTAATTTCAGAAATACTTTTGAAACACCTATTGTATACAAACAAACTGTCCAGAGAAGAAAAACTAACTGCTGTCCATCATTAACATCCTGAGCCCTAGGGAGCAGTGATCTTTTGTAGGGGGGATACATCAGTCTGCAGAAACACAGAGACCTTCCAGATTCCTCTCCTCAATGTTAATGTTGTGTTTGAAAAAAGGTCTTATCTGAACTTGAATCACTTCTTTTAATGAATTATTTCTCTATAGAATTCTTTGAAAAATGTTAAGAAAAAAAATGTACATTTAATAGAATAATGAAATACATTTCAGGAAAGATTGTTCAGTATATGACAGTAGCACTGCATAAAGGACACAAGTGAGCAAAGAATACTGATCTGAAATGAAACTTCAGTAGTTGGAATACTGCAATGTATACATAAATACGTACAGAGAGAGAGAGAGAGAGAGAGATGAAAATAAACAAAAAGCCAAACCGACCCCTTTGAAAATTGGAATAGCATGTAAACCTTAGAACACATATGAGAGCTTTCCTGAGTATCTCTTAATAGAAATGTACTCTTCTCTCCTTTTATTCTGGCTTCATTTTGATCCATATCCTGTTTTGATATCTCTAAGTGCTTTCTACTCCTTTTGCATGGTTCACTTATTATGTGGCATTGTATGTGTAAATAACATTTGGGCCCTTCTAACATAATGTCTGGATACTGTATAAATTTGAAAGCTTATCTCTAAATCAGGCAAAGACTTAGAAGAATCACCTGGCTTTTTTTCTTCTGGTTGCGAATTTCATTTACAGTCAGGCCACTACCAATCTTTCTGGAGAAGTGGAAGAAGCAAATTAAAATATTGCAATCAAAAAAAAAAAGTGTTATCACTCAACTTTTCTATAATGTATAAGCTGTTTAAAATCTTCTAAAATGCAGTCTATATAATGGAAACACCTAAAGGAGTGTCATCAACACTGTGCAGTGTTGGATTATGTGTATAACATACTTTATTTCATGTATATAGTACGGTTATTTTTTTAAAAAGTCTGATTTACTTTGGGAAACATATCTTAGTTTCTTTCTTGCACACAGTGGACAGCAGAAAGCAGCACAGATCAGGATGGATAGGGGCAGATGGGAAGTTGCTTTTGGAGGAGAACTGATAACTGCAGGCACCTATGCTTGTAATGGGAAGCCTCATTTCTCCTTTTAAGTGTGTTGACTAAATACTACAAATCAGTCAGGAAAGTTCTAAATAGATTTATCTATTTCTCTGTGGGTGTTATAGCAGTGTGAGGTTTCATGGCCTTTCAATGTCTTGCCCAGCAGTATGGGACAATATAGTACAGGCATATCAATTTCCTTTACATTTCAAACTTTATATTATTTGTCAAAACTACTCAGATGGGCATTTTTAAAATTTTACAAAGTATTAAAAGATAGTTTGTCCTATATATATATATATATATATATATATATATAAAAATAATATATGTATATACAAATGCCTGTATGCTGAAAATTTGGTGTTCACAGCCTCACTTCTGAACAGACAAGTCTGATAATAAGCCAGATCTGTGATTCTTTGTAGTAAAAGCTCTATTTATTTACTCAGTCCACTAAGCTGGTCATACATTTAACATACATTCTATACACTTTTGAGGAACTAGTACTAAAATTTCTTGAGATGAAGGTGCTGAGTATAGATGTAGAATGCAGAGAGGGCCATGAGAATGATGAAGGACTTGAGAGGAGGCCAAATGAGGAGCAGCTGAGGTGCCTTGGTCAGTTCAGCCTGGAGGAGACTGAGGGGAGACCTCAGTGCAGTGACAGCTTCCCTGGGAGGGGAAGAGGAGGGGCAGGCACTGATCTCTGCTCTGGGGTGACAGGGACAGGACTGAGGGGATGGCCTGAAGCTGAGGCACGGAGGTTTAGGTTGGATAGCAGGAAAAGGCTCTTCACCAGAGGGAGTTTGGGCACTGAACAGCTCCCCAGGGCAGTGGGGACAGCACCAGCCTGACAGAGCTCACAGAGCAGTTGGTCACTGCTCTCAGACACAGGGTGTTACTCTTGGGGATGTTCTGTGAAGGGCCAGGAGTTCAACTTAGTCATCCTGATGGGTCCTTTCCAACTCAGCACAATCTGTGATTTTATAATTGAATCTAGGTCTGGTTTTGAATGGTTTAGGGAAAAAACAAAATATTTCATACCATAGACTGGGAAATCTAGAACCAGACAGAATATACATTTCTTATGGCAAGAGGAGTTATTAGTGTGATTCAGATTTAGGTATTATATGTTCTTGAGCCTTTGAAAGCAGCATGTATTAAATATCTCAACTGTAAAACATACCAGTAAATACTTCTGGTATAATTTGTCTTCACACAGGTCTCATAATAATCTCTAATAGTTACAGATTTGCTTAACCCCCAAACTATAGATTGTAATTTATTTTGCCTCTGCACCTGTTCCTACATTGTCCTTAAGTGCCTGAAGGCACAGAAGTCCCAGTCTGACCAGAATCTCATTGTTTAAGTGCTGAAAACTTGATGTTTCGATTGAGTGACTACATTTAAGACACAAATTATCTGCTATGATACATGGAGACAATTTCCCCATTCCTTCTAAAGAGACAACTGAAGTGGTACAGAACTCTTCCTGTGTAGGTTTTGGACTTCTCCACACCACAACTGCAGATTTAGTGAAATCTGTGTGGCTTGTTAGAGAACTACTGTACCTAATGAGCCAATAATCTTTCTTCTGGAATAAAGAGTACCTGAAGTAAAAATTAAATTATGTGAATGCCATCATGGAAGAGAGAAGTAGTCTTCCATACATCTCTGGAAGAGAGAAGTAGTCCACAGTCCAGGTGGTTCCTTATGCTGCTCTGCAGCAGTGCTTGCAGGAGTTGAACTGCAGATATCAGAACTTTTTTAAAAATCGTGAACTGCTACTTTATTTTTGTCTTTGTGATGCCTTGTTACTTAATAACATTGAAATGTGGTCTTCAAATCTGCAGCCTTGGAACCATGGGGATTCTAAAATGCCTTTAAAAGCACTGGCAACTCCAGCTACATAAAGAAAACTAATGCTGCTCCAGTAGGCAGAATGGGATTTTTTTCCCCATATATTCAGTATTCAGGAAGCTCTCCATGAGATATATGGACCTAGTTAATTACAATCCACTCTGCACCTTTTTTTCTTTGAGCAAAGTGGTTTCAAAGTCAGTGAACAAGGCCTTATCTCAAGGTCCTATCTCCCTACCAGATAGGGTTCAAGCCAGA